TCATATTACAAAAAAAAAATATTAAAATGAAACGAATAAACACTGACTTTTTTTGTCAAAATATATAGCAGATTAATAATATAAGATTTATTATAAAAATAAATACAAAAAAACTCGAGAAATTGCTCAAAATTATTTTTACATGAGAAGGAAAATTCCTGCACAGCATTTTTGTCTGACTTTCGATTACTGATAGATCATTAAAGTTAATCAAAAATAGTTCACAGTCAAAAAATGACAGGCTTTTCATTGTCTCTATCTCTTTGTAAAAGATTTATTGCTTTCTATATTTATCGTTCTATTTCACATGAATATATTCGAATAAGTGTATTAATATATTATGTATACAGTTAATGGAAAAACAGAAATAAATATTTTGTTGCTGAAGATGTTCATGATACTCGAATTATAAATCAAAAATAACACTCAGGAAAAAAATATGAATGTGAAAAATACTTGTTAATGTGGAGAATAGTCTTACCCGAAAAAATTGGATCATAGTTATATAAAACATTTAATTTTCGAACGAATATTTCAAGTTTAAATCAAGTGTGAAAAAATGTACTGCCAGAGTCTATTGTCAAGTAGAGTTTGTATTAACTGAAAAACTTTATATCTTTTCTTTCTTCTTTCGTTAGAATTAATATCAATAAAACTTGTCTTTGAAAATGTTAGAAACGTGTTACTCTTCTTTCTTTTATCCTATCATCTCTAACATTGTTAATCAAGCGACCATATCGAATAAAATAACATGTTACGTCTCGGTCTAAATCACATGTACTTATACATAAGACGACGATCTTATTGAGAGAAAAAAAAGTATGGTTAACATCAATGATATGATTGTATTTAAAATTCGTTTTTTAGCGAACATTTTGATCGATTATAATTCTGAATTATTGTGAATTAGTTATAAAGCGTAAACTACTTTATTCAATCAGAACGCAAATTATTATTTTTGCCTAATAAGCAATTATTATAAACTTAATCAAAAAACTTGCTGGGATTTCATTGATATCTTCTATTCATGAGTCTCATGATGTTCTTGTGATTGTACTCTTAACTTTTACTTTTTATAGTAGTACTATTGCTTATTGTTGTATATTCAGCGTAGATTATTAATATAATTATCGATACTGCAACATATACTCATGAGATCTTCTTCACAGATTATTGTACTGGAAAACTTGCACGTTCTCAAAAAAAGACAAGTTTTTTTACGAGTTATTTAATTCAAAGAGAATCGTTTGGTATTCTTTTCTTGCAATCGAAAATCAGCTGCCAATCTTCTTCTTTTTCTTAGTGTTGCTCTTTTTCTTCCGACATCTAATCGAAGTCATGGAGTGAAAATGATGTAAAAGTAATAAAAAGCAATGTAATGGTTTTGATTTTTCGGAGTCATCAAAGTCATGGAATTAAAATGATGCAAAAATAATGAAATGAATGGAACGATTTTGGTTTTTTTTGGAATGATTAAAGTCATGAAATTTTTTTGATTTTGAAAGTCTCTGGGCAGTATCCGGTAAACCACAAAAGATGTTGACAAAAACACACGTGTTTACAACTCAACTCGATCCATCGCACTGTTCATGTTTGTCCCATTCGAATTTTGTTGTAAATCTTTCCTAACATGTGTCTCATGCGAAGTTTCATAGGGTTCTCAGCGCTACGTTGTACAAGCGAAATGCTCAAAGTTTTATTCAAAAACAATTGTCAATCTATTTTGAGATTTTCATATAATTCATGCATTATAATTATTATCAGTCAATTTGATCCTTTTATTACCACGCTTGCGTTCTGTGGATTGAACGGTATTCTTTTCAAGCCATATACTCATCGAATAGGCGTCACCTTTGTATCTTGAACCTGCCTTGTTCTCTTCAAACCATTCAGTGAATTTTCTCCAGGATGATGCGCGACCGAAGCGAAATCGAGCACTTGATAAATGCGGAAGTCGTTGAAGAACAAGTTTGATTTCATCCGGATTCTTAATTGATACTGTTAAATGTTTGATATGAGAAGGAACCATAGAACAAATATTATCAGCACTCCAGCTGTTATAAATACAAGAATCGTAATCTATAGTGAGAGAAGCAAGGCAGCATGTTCTTTGGAGGAGACTGGCGATGTTGGCTCGCATATTACGTCTTGCTCTATAAGTCGATCGACCTGTGAACTTAATTTGAATGATTGTGGTTAGATCGATCAGTGTCGAAACAAACAGAATCCAGTCTGATATATTATCATTGAACTGAATTTGGAGTTCTTCCACTTTTCGAAGTAAAGGATAGTTTGTTCTTTCATTCTAGACAGAGAAAAAGACACATGGAACCTCTAGAATGTGACTAGAGACAATCATTTCAATTGGACCTGTGACATCATTTACCTCAAGATTTACAAAAAATAGTCGTTTCATCGGTCAATAAAGAAAAGACACCAAATACAGCACAATGCAATTTATCAAATCTTACTCTGTAACAGCCTCTATGACGTATCGTTGCTCAAATATTAATTTGGGTTAGGCTTTTAAAGGCACTGGCATTGAAGCGTTTTCAAACAGATTATCATTAGAAATTGGTTGTCTGCCATGTGCTAACGAACTTTCGATGCCGGAAAACGATATTAAGTTTTGACCATTTTTCTTCGCCATTTTTAACAGAATCCTTTTGCAAAAAAGATTTCTCAATTCAGAAAGTTTTACAAAACTGAGAGCGAAATCTTTGATCAGCGTCAAATTTCTGACTTCACCACATATTAGAAGCCTTTTCTAGTCTGATATGATTAAGGGATCTTTGTAGATAGAAAGAAACATCACACTCACATTTGTTTGCATCTGTTGCTCAATGCCCGCAAGCATCGATTCTGAGACAGTCACTAGAACTCTGGTCACATTATCCATTCTGGATGCATCATTACCAACCACGTTGGAGAAAGTAGAGAGAAACACTTTGTTTGATTCCAATGTATAGGTCAAAGAAGACTTGCAAATTGGAAATGAATAGAGGTCGATCCTCGTTGGATTGTTGATACCATATTCACAGGTAACAAACCACTTTTTCTGCTCAAGCCAGAATGGTGTTCGATATGATGCGATTAGCGATTCGACATCAGAAAGAGTATATGGAATATGTCGCCATATTGTAAAGACAAACTCGAAGCTGATCAACAAAGGTAGATTTGTTTCAATAAATTGTTCCCATAGATTACCGTCTAGAAACACCTGACAACTAATTAGTTTCAGGTGAGTTAATGAAGGCATCAGTGAAAGAAACAGTTCAACATCGTCAATTTCTAAGCTCATGTTTTCCACGGTTAATGAGATAATTTGCCGAAATGGTGAGGAAAGCCGCTGCAGTGTAGCCTCGCTAGACTTTGACCTGGACAACAAATCTATAATGAGTGTGCGTAGATGAGGTAAGCCGCAAAGGATTTTACAAATCTGATCGAAAGTGATAGAAATGTCAATTCTCAGTTGTTGAATCATTGACTGATCTGGCCAAAGCATATTTTCTAGCCCACGCCCTCTAGCATCTAGTAATTCGAATTTAAGAAGATTCTGTTGTTCGATTATCGACGAGATAAGTTCTACAGTTTTATTGGTGGGTCGATCATTATATGTTATACTAGCCACTGAAAATGAAATGAGCGAAGTAGTGTTGACATTTTTCAAAATTGCTTCTAAATGTTGTTCTTCAATTTTAAGTAAAGTCAATGATCGAAGTCGACTGAATTGTTGAGTGCTGAACAGTGAAAGGAACAATTCGACTCGATCAAGTGGATCATCGTCCTTAGAGAGTGTCAACGAAATAACATTTCGAGGATCAATTAATCGACCAAGAAGATGAAAATCGTATTTTGCAACGGATTGAAAATCGAGAACACATCGATCATAACTGTTGGTAACTGCTACCAATCGTCGACACGTGTTGCGAAGTGAGAAGAATATTGTCTGTGTATCGAGGTGATCGAAAATACGATGTAGAACTTCTGCGGGTAATGCTTGAAGCGTTGAGTTGTGATGTATCGACATTGAGGGTGATGCAGAAAATGTTTCACCAGTGTGCAACACTGTGCGTTGCAAAGTTGTGAGAAAATGTCAAGAAAAAAAATCTCTTTCACGAGTCTTGCACAACTGAAGAAGAATGAATGAAAGTTTTTTTCTCTTTACAAGAGAGGTTGAAAAATGCAGAACGAAAAAGAAGAAACGATACAGAAGCAATGTACCTCGTCACGTGCGCTGTGAAATGCACGTGAGAGGGTGAACAATTCATGAATTAAGAGAAAAAGTCTATACTATATTTTGCAAGTTTTTTTTCAGTTCTTCTTCGTCAGGAACTTTTTTCTTATCTATATGTATGTGTGTCATATCTACCCATTCATTATAATCATAAATATATATGAGTCATATTTTATTTTGTTTTCTTTTTCTACACGTGCAGTAGCAACATATTATAGAAGTGTGTTTTCTATTATTAAATTTTCTGAGGGTAAAAATAATAAATAATCGTAGCGAAGCTAAATTTATTTATTTATTTATTTATAAAAAATAAGAAGGCGATTGAATCAATATTGTTAGTGGTTGTCTATGAAATTTTTTTTCTTTTTAATTCTATTTGCTAAAAGTAAGTAGGTACCTATATTAGTAAAAAAATTGGCGGCATCGTTTTTCATATTCTTTATTTTTCACATAGATATTTACTACTGTGTACCTCAATTTCAATCAAATCGGACCTTTAGGAGCACAATATTTAGCCAATGCATTACGAAATCACAAGGTGATCTTCATTCGCTTCATCTCTCTCATATCCATTTCAATGTTTTCTACCAGATAGTAACCACACTTCATCTCAGAGGCAATCGTATCGGAGCAACAGGCACCCAACATCTTGCTGATGCACTGCGAAATAATACGGTAATCCTGAATCTTTTTTCATCTCTCTCATGTTCATCTTCACTTTTTCTGCTAGACATTAACCACGCTCATTCTTTCTGATAATCAGATGGGAATATTAGGAGCACAACATATAGCTGATCTATTACAAAACAACACAGTAACTCTTTATGCTCTTCTCATGTCTCTCATATCTAGCTTGACTTTTTCTAACAGACTTTGACTACTCTCAACCTTAAATCCAATCAAATTGGAGCATCAGGAGCACAATGTTTAGCTGATGCATTACAAAACAACATGAGCACGGTGATTTTCATTCACTTTTCAGCTTTCTTATATCTATTTTTTATCCCTATAGAAATTAACCACACTCGATCTTTCATGCAATGATATTGAAGCATCAGGAGCACAAAATCTCGCTAATTTATTACGAAACAATGAGGTGACTTTCTATTGTCTCTGAGTATCTCTCGTATTTGTCGCTTCTTTTTCACACAGACACTGACCACTCTCAGAATTGGAGACAATCAAATCGGAGACCTTGGAATACAATATATATCTGCCACATTACATAACAACAAGGTAATCCAATACTTCAACATTTTCGTATCTATTTTTATTTTTCTGATAGATATTAACTACACTCAATCTATTTAATAATCAAATTAGAGTATCGGGAGCACAACATCTCGCTCTTGCATTAGAAAACAACAAGGTGACCCTCGTTCTCTCGTAATATCTTTCACAACATATTCATATTTATTGTTTCACACAGACATTGACCACACTTGAACTTGAAGAAAATCGAATCGAGATATCAGGAGCACAATATTTTGCTGATGCATTGCGAAAGAACATTGTAGTTTTCATTGTCGTTTCATTCCTCTGATATTTATTTTCGCTATTTTCGACAGGCATTGGAGACACTCGACCTCCGAAGTAATCGGATCAGTGACGAAGGAGCGCAGTATCTTGCCGACGCATTACAAAAAAACAGAGTAATTTTCATTCTTTTTAATCTCTCTTACATCCATCTTCACTTTTTCTGATAGACATTGACTGAACTTAAGCTCACACTGAAAGCTGAAGATACAATTTGGCAGCTTATCCAGAAAAGGATTGGAAAAAATAGGCAACGAAAGAGCAAAGATTAATGATTTTGTCAAAAACAGAAGCATGACTGTTGGTAGAAATTTTTTTTATAGTGTTTAAGAAATAAAACTTGAAGAAACAATATACTACGAGATATGTTCACTGGAAGAGTATCGTCGGGTAGATGCACTTCCTTCTATCACACTCACATCCTTTAGAACTTGGAAAAATTCTTGAAGGTGGTTATGGGTGTGAGTGTAAGTCTTCCTTTGTGTGCGTCCACATCCAAACTCACACTCACATTCCATACAATCACACCCTAATAAAATGGTGACAGGAAAGAGACAAACGAAAGACTACAGTTTACATCACATATTTTGCCGTTTTCAGCATCTATCACTTGCTTAAAAACTCTGAACAATACGTTATTCGATGCAAAATCTCACACTGATTCTGAATAGATACGAATTGCTATGGCTGAAGTTGATCATAGTCAGAAACACAGGAAAATAAACGAAAATTAGGAATATCAGGCATATTTGTCGTTAGACAATTAAACCAAACGTCAAAATCAGGTTTCAATTTAATCCAGCCTCTATGGAGCGCTTGTAATATCGGAATTATTGTTCCATTACATATACTGAGAATGGTACCAAAAATCAGCTTCCGTGACCGCGTCACGTTAATGTACCGCCAGATGTCATTTTTTTTAGAAAAGAAACAGTACATCAGAATCGCTGTGAAAAGTTAATAATGGTCCATGACTTTGTTTACTGGTATTCCGTAACGGGGATAACAAAATTTTGAGTGTGTGTGGCTGTGGGTGTGAGTGTTGATGTGGATGACAATATTAGCATCTCCATCAGAATACTCACACTCACATCCACACCCTTGTCAAAAATACAGTTTTGATAAATGATAGTTATCGTTAAAAAGAACGGAAAGCATAAAAGAGACTAACTTGAGAATATTGATCTTGCTGAGATTTGACAAAAAAGACATGAAAATGAATCGTACAATAAATAAAATTAGAAAGATCGAGGTAATCTAATGTATCCCATTGTCATTGATCTTATTCTCTGTTAGTGTCAAATTTATTTAAATTTAGTTAAGAGATTTTATTCCTCTAACGAGTAGAGAAAGAATAGGAAATGACACGTTGAAATAAATCAACTTTTCAATTGTGACTATTCAACGGTAAACAATCTAATAAACGTCTCTTCGATCTTATCATCAAATATTGACATTTATTTTCTTGATTTACTGATTCGAATGAAAAATCAATCGATTAATCTCGATAATCAGTCGAGAAAATATCGGAAATGTTATCAGATAAGATCTTGAAAAGAACTTTGAAGAAGAAGATTTGTGAGAATAGTAGTTAAGAAACAGATGATTATGATTAATTGATATAATTCTTGTCTGTCTAAGTGTAAAAAGAAGAACGAAAAAAAGAGTGATTTTTCGATTGATCAGTTGGATTTGTAGTTAATGAGATAAATGATCTGAATGTGTTGAAGTTGTTCAGAAATATGAGAAGAAATAAAAACGAAGAATTACTTATAGAATAGTTAAAGCAAAGAAAATCTGGTCATTTTTGATTGTCCATGTTTTTCATAAATTTTTTTTTTGACAATTTCGAAATGATTGAAGAGTATTCGAATTAGTAAGAAGAACGTTAAGAGGTATTTATGAGAATTAAACTAAGAATTCAATTCTTGTTTGTTCATATTCGCTCGAAAAGTGTCCTATTTAATGTGCTTATCGTCATTTAACTTGAAAAGAAATTGTTTTGTCAAAATGATTTTCTCTTTAGTTGATTTGTTCAATGATGTGATTTGATCTGATAAAGATTTATAAATAAGATTGATTTTCTAGGTGTTTATCAAAATACTCCTCTCGTTTTTCATTTATTCCAACAGAAATTTTGTTATTCTCAAGATCGATTACACTTTTGGATTAGTCATGGCTCTGTGCCTTATTCATTTTATCGATAGTTGCTGACGTTTCTACTGCTGGATCATAAAGCTCAGCACTATTGAGAAAGATTTTATTAAGAAGTCCACCAGTCACCAGCACATTACCATCGGTTAAGACAGATGCTGTGTGATACAATCGTCCATGGTTCATACGATCAGTAGTAGTCCAGTGTTCTGTTGATGGATCATACAACTCAGAACTATTCAGACTTGTCATATTATGGCCACTATATCCACCTGTCACTAAGATTTTTCCATTTAATAGCACCGATGCTGTGTGCCAGTCTCGTGCATCCTTCATAATATCTGTCGATGTCCAAAGGCCTGTTGATTGATTATACATCTCAGCACTATGTAGGATAGGATCCTCATATCCTCCGGCAACTAACACTTCTCCATTCATCAACACAGATGCAGTATGCCATACACGGGGATCATTCATGACACCAGCACGTATCCAATGTCCGGTTGATGGATCATATAAGTTAGCAACTTCGGGATAACCAGAACCCAATCCTCCGGCAACTAGTACTTTTCCATTTGTTAATACAGATGCGGTGTGATACATTAGTGTATCCTGCAAGCTATCAGTGTTTGTCCAGATTCCTGTCGAAGGATCATAAAGCTCAGCACTCTGAAGAACAGCTAAATTATCAGCGCCGCCGATCACCAATACTTTTCCATTTCTCAACACGGATGCTGTATGCCATACTCGTGCAGTGGTCATGCTACCAGTAGTAGTCCAAGTATCTGTCAATGGATCGTACAATTCCGCGCTCTTCAGCACAACTTGACCTTCATTCCTGCCAGTGTACACTGGCTCTTTGTGATTGGTTCGTACGTTCTTCATTTTATCGATAGTTGTCGAAGATTTTGGTAATAATAAACACGATTCGGTACTATTTAAAATACTTTTGACATAAATTCCGCCAGCTACTAACACTTTCCCATTCGGCAAAACGGACGCTGTATGAAAACTTCGTCTATCCTTCATACTATCAGTCACTGTCCAGATTCCTATGGTCGGATCGTACAACTCAGCACTATTAAGAACGGAACCGTTGCAACCTCCAGTCACCAATATTTTACCATTATTCAACAAAGATGCGGTGTGCTGAATTCGAGCACTATTCATGCTGCCAGTCTTGGACCATCCTAAACAGATTTTTAGGCATGTAACTATAGATTTTCATATATCTTCAATCGAGGTTATTCGATTCACAGAATCAAGAAGCATGTATGACTGTGAAACTCACTTGACTGTCCATTATTTGTGCTGTCAGGCGTGTTCGGAGCAAGAATAATGAGTTTCAAAAAGACCCACAGTGGAATTGCCGACATCGTTAAGATTATAAAAGCAATGCAGATGTTCTTGACCCAATAATGAGTCGACCATTGAGATCGTCTATTGCCTTCGATCAAAAGTTGCATAGACGACTTGTTGATATTCATCCGACGTTCGACAAGAAATTTGAGAGCGAAACCGAACGAGCTATTCTGTAATTCTCCTTTATGTTTGCCTAACTCCATCACATTAATAACAGAAGGAAAGTCTTCTTATCTGTACCACGATAACACTGTCGTACTTTTATCGTCATTCTCTTTTCGCAAAGAAACGGTCTTCATCCACTCAAAAAAAAAACTTGTCTTTTTCTATATCTGTCCGACACATCAGAAAGCAGCCCAGAACACTGCTAGAGATACAAGACCATGCATCTGAGGGTAATGGGGAGGGTGAAACGGGCACCTCTGAACTTCAAAAGAAAAGTATAAAAAAACAACCAATAAACTGAGACGAACTAGCGCTTGACCTATATTTTCTAATAGAATGCAATTATCTAGGTTATCTTTCATTAGGAGCTTGATATTAAACTCTTATTACTATCAGAAAACAACTGGGACCTCATGCAGTATAGTTTGATAATTATTTGCTTCTTCTATAAAAACTATACATTTAGCACCGAGAAAAGAGTGGCCAAGCAACAATAAAAAGTTTATTGGAGTGATGAAACATAATTAGATAGAAATAACTAATTATGGTTATGACTTTGCTCACCCTCACACCCTCCATACTTGGATGAAAAATTGAATATTTTATACCTCCCTGCAACCACTAGAGTAGAGTTGACCTACTTAACTCTAGCTGATAAAATGAAATTGACCTATTTTACTTAACTGGGTGAAAAAAAAAGAACGTAGCACACTCTAGTCACCTGACTGTCTCTCTCTATCGATGTGGCAAATACTCTTTGTTCTCATAGGTTCCTACTTGCTCGGCGATCCACGTAGATTCTCTCAATCTTCATCCTACTCGATACAATCACTAGTCAAGTGCCAGTCAGTCCAAAAGCTTGTACATTCAGTATTTTAAAAGTTTCGATATTTTTATAGG